AAAGTATCGCTGGTTTTTGGCGCCCTGCCCCAGCCAGTGCGCAAGCGCCGGATGGAGCCTGAGTTATTTATGGTTACGTAGGGCTGGATTGGCCACGCCCACAGGCTCTAGTGCGCATTTTCGCCTGTCTACATATGTAGGACTATTGGATGAAGCTCACTGACCAAAGCAGGAGCAGCAGTAGGAGGTGAGTGTTCATCCTGTTGTCCACCAAGTAGGGCGAGTACACTGAAATGTAGATGTATGATTTGGTCTTAAGTTTATACGGATTAAAACTCAAACGGCTGGTTTTGTGTAAAAGAAGATTAAGTAGTGATCAGTGTTCACACTAACATCCAATACTACACAGCAGCCGGAGGTGAGTGTTCATCCCGTTGTCCACCAAGTAGGACGAGTACACATCCTGTTGTCCACCAAGTAGGACGAGTACACTGAAATGTAGATGTATGATTTGGTCTTAAGTTTATACGGATTAAAACTCAAACGGCTGGTTTTGTGTGAAAGAAGATTAAGTAGTGATCAGTGTTCACACTAACATCCAATACTACACCAGTTATGAGGTTAAAAATGCCACGGTTATCCTACAGGGTTACACTTTTCTGTTGACGTTTTTTGCAGTAAAGTTGCAGTTAACAGAAAGCAAACAACAGCACAAATGAAACTGATGAGGAAGTTTAAAAACCAGACTCAGTGGAGAGCGCATGGTGACAGCTTGTTTATGATGACGAGTGACTTTAGAGGGGAGTTCTCAGTTCTCAGTTTTCAGGAAACCACACAGCAGCAGTTGACTGAAAAACAACCAAAGGCAACATGGGTAAAATTCCTGTAGAAATAACTGTGTCAGAAATGGGAGCATGTGAGCTGCTAATAGTGGTGGAAAGTAACTAAGTACATTTACTCAAGTACTGAGTACTTATGAGTGTTTTGGTTTTCTGCTACTTCACACTTTGACTTCACTACATTTTAGAGGCAAATATTGAACTTTTTACTCCACTAAATTTATTTCTAACTTTACTAGTTACTTTTCACAATCAGAATAATTAATATAATCATCTGGCTTTATTGATCCTTGGTGTGAAATTCACAAAATACCCAGCAGTACTTCATATTATAAGCATGTACAGTGCCCATAAACAGTATTCACCCCCGTTGTTTTACTCTTTTATTGATTTTATAAATCAATCATAGTCAATATACAAAAAAACCTCTTTAATGTCAAAACAGGTTCCTACAAAGTAAAGTCAATTAAATAAAAAATCTCCGGTATCGGCCTCTCCTTAAAATGACTGACCTAATTCAATAGAGTTCCAGCCAGTTGGTGCTTAGTAGTCTCACAATTAGTGAAATCACCAGAGTGGATGTGTCTCAAGTGAGTGTAGTATAAAGACACCTGTGTCTGTAAGGTCCAGTCACTGGTTAATCAGTGTTCCTGGCTACTATTACACCATGAAGACAAAAGTCCAAGCAACTCAGAGAAAAGGTTATTGGAAAGTCTAAGTCAAGGGATGGATACAAAAAAAAAAAAAAAATCCAGGGTGTATTTCTGGCCATCCACCAGCAGAGGGAGCCACTCACAGGTCAACACAGACAGGGTGTATTTATTATTTTCCTCCACTACACTATCAAAATTAATGCAAGTAAATTACTTTAGAGAAACCTGTTTGCACTTTGACATTAATGAGTTTTTTTTGTAACATTTCTTTGTCAAAAAAAAAAACTAATTGTATTGACCATAATTTATTTATAAAATCTATAAAATGGTAAAACATCCAAGGGGGTGAATACCTTTTATGGGCACTGTAAGTTGTGTTGCCAGTACTTCTGAACTTAACATTTTGAATGCTCAACTTGTAGCAGAGTATTTTTACACTGTGCTATTGCTACTTTTACTTTTATTGCTACTTTGTAAAGTAAACATTTTGAGTCCTTTTTCCACCAACTGCTGCTAAACATGAAAGTTGTGGAAGAATAACTTGAGCACAGTTTGCTATTTTAATTTTCTGCAGCAGCTGTGAGGTAGAAGATGAGATCTTTGTGTATGAAAATGTGCTATGTAAGTAAATTTCACTTCAGCTTGTCACAACAGCAGCACAAAATGTGCTTGACCAGCACTTTTCTCCTAAAAATGAGCATTAATGTCATGAGGCTCACTGATGTTTGAGAGAAACACAAAGGTGTGCAGCAAGTTCAAGTATTCCTCTCTATGATATGTGTGTGTCAAGGCAGTTTCACCTCAAACCAAAGTGATAAGGTGTCCATAATATTTGCTTTTGTTATCAGCTTAGTTGACTGCTAAGCCATCACCACACCAAGTGCAACAGCTTTTGTTGTCTGTTCTGTTTACCTGGTGGTTATTGTTACTCTTCAGTGTCAGAAGGAGTGCACGTCTGACTGTATTAATTAGAAATCGACACTCTTAAATAATAAAAACGAAAATAGAAATCTTTGTGAAACCATGGAAGATGCTGTTCTGTGTCGGGGGCTTCTTTGTATTTCATCATAGCTAACCCATGAGTTCACCTTTCTCCTACATTATATCTTGTTCTCAACTAAAGACACAATCATTAACACGTAGTCACTCTTTCATGGGACAAACAGGACATTTATTGGTCTGTGGGAAGTTAATGATTATGGCGACTGACGACTCACAGATGCTCTGTTGCTAAAGGAGTACTCTAATTTCCTGTGCCTTCTGTCTTCATGTACTTTCCTCGGTCTGCTTTTTATCTTGTTGTTACAGCAGCTCTCTCTCTCTCAGCCATGACCAGCCTGAAACCCAAAGCAGACAGACAGAGTGATGATGCCGACGGCCCAGATGGAAGCTGGGGCTGGGTGCTGGTCGGCGCCCTCTTCGTCAGCACGGGCCTCGTGTTCGGCCTGATGCGTAGCTTGGGGATCTTCTTTGTAGAGTTTGTCGAGTACTTTGAAGAGAGCGCACAGACCATTTCCTGGATCTCGTCAACAGGCCTGGCGGCTCAGCAGTTCTTCAGTGAGTCACCATCTGTGTCACAGTGTGAATGACTTGCGGTTTGTAATGATGGTTACTTTCATTATAAAATGTGTTCTTGACAGTTTATCTATTGCTCAACAGATTATTGTTCTAGTAACTGTTTCAGCATAAATCGTTCAGTTTACACACAGAGATTTAGCCAAAGAGAATCCTTCCTTAGATTTTGAACCATTTCATGTGGTTTGTGTAAAAAGGGGCTGAAACTCAATAAGTGGCTCAGTCATTACAAAGTTGTGCTGTGCAGCCAAACATCAGTCAAATCCACACAACATTATTCCCTAAAGTTTCCAAAGATACCAAATATGTAAATTTTGAACAAATATGTATAAAATAATACATTTCATTCATTATTCAACATAATTTAGCTCCAGTGAAGAGCTTAAACAGGTTTATACAGAATATATTTGAAAAATATTGATCCTTACTGTTTTAAAGCTACTTAAGCTGAAATAGCTTTTACAGAATAAAATTAATATTAATTAAATATTTTATTTATTATTGGCAGGATGCATTTATGATGGTTTTTGCGACACTCCTTGATTAGACAAGAACAATGATAAAAGCCTTAAAACAAGACAGTTTCCACACTTTGATGCAGGTCCCCTGGGCACAGCGCTGTGTAACGCCTACAATGCCCGGATGGTGGTGATGGCGGGGGGCTGTCTCGCCGGGCTTGGCCTCATCCTCGCCTCACAGGCCACCTGTGTTCTTCACCTCTACCTCACTATGGGTCTCATTTCTGGTAACGTCAAAGTCAAGACAGCTGGATGACAGGATTAGAAAACTTTTGTTTAACCTCTTAGGTGCAAATTTGTTAATTACAGGTGAACGAACTGAGCCCTCACAGTGGCTCTTCCTCCCCCTCTGCCAGGTTTGGGCTGGGGGCTGGTCTTCACTCCCATGGTGGCCACAGTCATGGCTAACTTCACTCGGCATCGCGCTCTGGCTTTGGGACTGGCGTTCTCCGGTATCGGCATCTCCTCTTTCGCTTTCAACCCACTCTTCCAGCTGCTGGTGGAGATGTATGCCTGGCGAGGGGCCCTACTGATTCTGGGGGGGCTCAGCCTCAATATAGTGCCATGTGGGGCTCTCATTCGCCCACAGCGGCGCTCTAAAGCTCGCCAAAAGGTGGGATGGACCTCTGTTATCATCACCTGTTGCACCAGCTTACATAGCAGTGAAGTCAAATTTCAGCATCTTCTTATTTCCCTCCCCCCAGGTGGATGCAAGGAGCAGAGTGTCGTGTGCTGCTGTGCTGCGACAGGTCTCGTCCTACCTAGAGCTGCCGCTGCTCTGCGAGAGGCCTTATGCCACCTACACCTTGGCCATCGTGCTTCTTAACATCGGCTACTTTGTGCCATATTTCCACCTGGTGGCCCATGGCCGCCAAGCTGGCTTTTCAGAGTACCAAGCTGCATTTGTCATGTCAGCTGCTGGTGCCACTGACATTTTGGGCCGTGTAGTGTCAGGCTGGTTCTCTGACATGGGGCACTTTCGGCTGATTCATTTACTGAGTTTTTGGGTCGCACTGGCGGGAGTGTTCATCATGCTGCTGCCCGTAAGCTCCTTGTCTGGTTCCTACGCTGCGCTGGTGCTGATCAGCCTCCTCTATGGCTTCAGCTCTGGGGCGCTGACCTCTCTGGCCTTCGCTGCGGTGCCCCTGATTGTGGGTGTGGAGCGCATGATGGGGGCCCTCGGGCTGCTGCAGCTCCTCGAGAGTGCTACGGGACTGCTGGGGGCACCTCTGTCAGGTAGGAGCACACTGGGAAGGTGCACAGTGCTTTGTTTACATTACAGAAAGTCAAATCTGCACCGAGTTAGCAATTATGTTTGCACAGTGTGTTAATATACAGCCAGGTGACAATGAAAGGGAGAACCCTACATAAAGTGTCTCATTACGGTGCTGGACCACCAGAACAGCTTCAGGGCATCTGTGAGTCTCTGAGCTCATCTGGGGGGATGAACACCATTCTTCTTAAATATATTCCCTCATGCGGTGTTTTGATGATGGTGGTGGAGACGCTCTCGCTCCAGAATCTCCCATAGGCGTTCAGCTGCGTTGAGATCTGGTGACTGTGAAGGCCACAGCATCTGATTCACATCATTGTCATCAAATCATTCAGTGAGCCCTTCTGTCCTAGGGATGGCAGCATTGTCATTGTGTTTGTCCTTTTAATTTGTCACCTGTCTGTAAATCAGCACTTAAACAGAGTCTGTTCTCTTACCCCTTTGTTTTTGTCTCTGACACTTTAATTATACATCTGCAGATATGTGGGCTTATCATGGTAGGAAAGACTCAGGTGACGCTTACAGGCAATTTGAAGTGCTTCACACAGGCAAAGAAAGAATTAACATTACAAACGAGGTTTAAAAACCAATAAAATCATTGTGAGCTAAATAAAATTAGATGAATTCTTAAAATGAAAAAGCAAATAG